GAAATGAGGACAATATATTCGATGTGCACAATCTTACAAATTATTGTTATTAACGTGAATGTTATGACAATATTTAAAAGTAGACTATATTAAGATTGTATTTTTGAAAGCTACACTTTATATGTCATTCTGTATAAAAATTCAAGGTCTAGGATAAAATATCGAACAGTGTGCATAAACCAGGCAGGTTTCAACATTGGGAAAACCAATTTTCCTTATTATTCATCCTCGGTGAATGTGATGTATTGAAATGCACTTGGTGATAATAGTACTAATCACTCCATTGTTTGTGTTTCATGAATGGATGTGATAATTCAAAAAATAGGCTACCCTTTTGTCGAGTGACCAATGCCTGTTTACTTTGAAATTTCAGGGCACGAGCCAAGGGAGACTTAAATGTCATGTTAATGTTAATATCAATGTTGAGATTTGGTGTTCCAGTAATTAGAGAATGGTCAATGATTGACGTGACAAAATTATTAGCACTTTTACTTTTGAACGATGAAGATGGAAACATTTAATTAATTAATGATAGACATTTTCACATAATTCAAGATTAAATCACCGTTTTTACTCACGTTCGATCAGAGCCATGGCTACACATCCAAGTCCCACAGTTTCTCAACGACAATTCACTTATGTAAAATTCAGTCGAAGGTGCACAGGATTTGTAAGATTATTTAATTACTGAGAATGGACCGGAAGAATCTTACGATGCGCGTCGGTACGAAAAACGAACGAAAATGCGACGGCCCCGGGCCCCGGGGCCCGCTCTTATACGCTTGCCGTTCAGGGTCGGAATGGTAAAACTCAAACCGTTTTCCGTGAACGCGCGGTGACGCAAGGGGCGAGCTCTTTCGGCTGCCTAACGCTTGCACTCGCCCCGAACGAACCTCGTACCATCGTTTTATGCATTTAACTAACGTTGACTAATCATTCCGCTCGCTTTCGTGTCAATATGTCACAGTTAAAAAGTGTGAACCTTAATAGACGTGTGCAGTATTTACAATGCAGTATACGTAATTCGTAGGATCGTGTCTAAAAATATTCATTGCGATCTTCAATAAAATCTTCTGTTCAATTTCATTAATTTATGCATGTTTCTAATATAGCATTCATCGAAAAATTTTGGTTATTAATTCAATTTCATATTGATTAATTATCTAACTATATGATAATGGTATTTATCGAGGTTCAATATAAAATTTTTCTAATTCTAATTATTGCGCTCCAATCTGCCCGTCCATTTCCCAACGAAATTCTTCTCAAGTGCAATTTCCCCTTCTATCTGCGACTCGGAGTCTCATTCATCTCCTCGAAACGGGTCTCGTTCGACTCCCACTCGATCGGCTAATCCCATTTCCATTTCAACTCCAACCCAATTCTGCCGCGAAATGATTTTCCGAGTTTTCGCGCGATTCATCAACGACGCATTGACAATTTAAGGCAGTCGGGAATCGGATTACAAAATACGACACGATTCCTAATTACGTTACGTGTTCATTTTTTTCTGTTTGGAAAGAAGTGAAAATGTGATGTTGGGAAATCGGTGTAAGTGCGAGGGGAAGACGGCAGTGGATCATCGACTCGATAAAATTTACATGATTAATACGTGTCAGCAATGTTTGACATAAATAATGATAAATTATTGCTGAATTTGCATCAACAGTGATTACAGGCTGTAAGTGCACTCCAATTATTATGTAACACAGATAATCGTTATCATAAATAACATAAATCATTATAATTATTATAAATAATAATCATTTATTATTATTATTATAAATAATAATCTTTTATTATTATTATTATAAATAATAATATTTTATTATTAATTATTAGATATTTCTACAATCACATACACAAAGAATTTGCTTGTAAACGGTCATTTCTTAATTATATTCACAAGTTACTCCGTTTACCTGATAATTGAGCATCTACTTAAACGTTCCTTTAAAACCGTACGTTTCATCTTAATTTAATTATCACTCTAGTTGTGAATGAGTTACAGGAATTCTCTAGTGATCGCGCCACGACTGCAGAATTTTTAGCCGACCTAAGCATGTTTTAATCAGACACGTGTCCAGAGGCAGGCTCGTGCGACTAATAACTTCATTGCGCGACGAATCGGTTGCTACAACTTTTTAATTAACGCGTGCCTCGTTTTCCGCTCGGTCGAGTGCGAAACTCCGATTGTTGTCCGTTCCGTCGCGCTACAATCGATTGAAGATTGCATGCACGCGCAACTACGCGAATACATTGAAGATCGAGGAAAAAGCTTACAGCATAATTCAATCATCTGAGATGACTCGTAATTGTGATTATAAATTAACAATTAATTCCAGGATTCTCAAATCGTATAATTATAAGCTTTTTTTTTCATGTAAAATCTAATGTTCAAAAGTTAGTTTAATTTAGATAATCGAGAAATCATGCGTGATAGTAATCAAAAAACGGTTTTGTTTTAATTTATTTCAGCGCATAGTTATCGCGATCATCCGGTGGTCAAGGTTAATTCAGGCGTCGCGAAAATGTCACGGACGGATTTTGAATGAGAAAACAGGCGCCGCGGTAAAGTCATTCAAGCATTATTACGATACGCCTGATAAAATAAGATAATTTTTGATAATATTTTATTAATATTTTTGATAATATTTTGATAAACCTACTAATCAAGACATCCTTATCTTTAATATAGATAAATTACATCAGATACAAATTACATATACGCGATATTTAAGCGAGAACGTTTTTAATTTTAGTAAAATTACTTTGGCGAACAGAAAGGATTTGATTCAAAGTTTATCCACAAACATTTCATTCATTCACGAATCTCCTGTCACTCACAACTTCCATTGCTGATACCTAAAATCTAATTTTGTTACACTTTGAAACTTCCACTGTTCACATGTTGCCAAGTCATATATCGATTCATAATAGTCGACCACAATTACGTTTATTCATCAATGATAGTTAATTACACGAATTAGATATAAAAAGATATTTTTATAACACGTCACTTTGACATTTATGTAATAATGAATGACATAAAATGATATCTTATGTACAATATAATTTATTACTTTGTTCGACAATAATCAGCGATTAATACGCAATACAAACGTCATATAAAATGTTTCAAATGCAAATAGCGCTACGAGAATTGTAGCGAGCGTTTCCAAATAATTGACGTTAGAAAATTGCCGTGACACATTCTGCACAATCGTTCATCCACTTTTCCACCCACTCACTGATACCAGGATTCACTCACCGAGCTAGAGCTGTCCGCCTGTGAGTCCAGAAGAGGAATGGGATGATCGACCGGGCGGCGGCGATCGACGATGCGAGACGTGTCAAACCAAAATGAAATGTCGCGCGTTAATGTATGATGTATAAACGAGGCTGTCCTCCCCTTTATAGACACCGTCGGATAATCGTGGCTCTTCCCTCCTCGGTTCTTTCCCCCTCTCTAGATCGATCGATCTATCCAGCGATGATCGAGACGAAATGATCTTTGTCGGTCAGGAGACTAATGGAGCGACCTGTTTATCAGCCATCGCGTTTAAGGGTGGAAGAGATGTTTGTTTATCGAAGGGTGCGGCCGGGATCGGGTTATGGGTGATTATAAATAAAATCGACGTGAACTTGGAAACGGGACTGTCGTCGCTGTTGGGGTGGGTCAGGGGTGCGTGATCGATCGCCTCTCCCCTACGTCGCGGGGAATTATCATTGTGTGGGTGAACCATGCGTGGGCGCATATGGAGACACTGATATTGGAAGGTAAGATGTGAATGTGAAATCGATGAGAAATTGTCAAATGAGTGGGTATGTAATATTTGTAAAACATTTCCGATGTTAATGAAGTTTAAATTGAGAAAATAGTATATGTATTATTATACATTTAATACTTTTGTTCATTATATGCAACTTTTATATTTATGTATATCAAAATTTTTCAATAAAATCTGCAGTCTAGTAAAAAAATTTTATTTTCTTGAAGAATTGTTTTTTAAAAGGAAATTTATTTTCGATAGAACCAATATCAAGCAAAGGATTGTACAAGACGACATTTAAACTGTGTATTATTAAAAAAAATTTGTCTTAATTCGTTTGATAGAAGATTAATCGACTCGGTAATTGCCTTGACTCTAGACGTAAACATATCGATTACAATGAGAAATGATCGTTACATACTTAATCCTCGATGACGAAAAACGTTCTCTAAATTGATCACGTTGAAAAAATTAATTTATGGAAATTCGCCGAAAAAATGATGAACATTAATTCGAGGACGCCCTGTACGTCAAGTGAGAACAAATCCGCGGTTAGTTCTCGGTGTAAAGTTCAGTTCGATCTCTGACGCTAATATAAAATTATGTTAATAGTTCCGAAGAAAAAGGAACGGTAACGAAATACTTAGAACGGAATGACGATGTATTTTTTATTCACAATCTATTTTTCATTGTGTTTATGCGTATATTATGTGTATGTACATGAAAGGATTTTTTTACAAAATTCAGATAATAGTCGATTTGTTTTGCAGCAAAACTTTGAAGATTAATAGTACAATATCAGACTGATGCATATTTACAAACCTTAAAGTCTGTACATAATGCATGAACAGTATGCAAAGTTTTTAACGTGTTGCGAAGAGCTATTGTTAGATAAGTTGAATTTTTAATATGGTAATTATTGTTAATTCGATTTATATTAGATTTTAATTATTTAATTGGAATATACGTCGAGACAAATTGGAACGGGAACGGGAGTAATGCTATATTAAGCCTGTGCATAAAGCCTACACATCCAGCGGTATTGTTTCAGCTCCTCCGCTGGCAAAGGCGTTTGTTTCAAAGGAGCACGTAGCTCGTTGGGGACATTCATATTCAGTGACCGTGTCGTCGTGAAAAGGAAGGAACGACGCGTTTAGTTTAGTAGTTTTCCAGTTTCGAGCTTCATGAAAACGTGTGCGTGATGATAGAAAAAAGACATGTAAGTCGCACACGCACAGCGTTATACGTACTTCGAAGGCTCTTACAATTAGTATAGAAACGATGTTTGCGGCTGGACACGACTGCGATTATTCTTAACTATGGAAATAGTGACAAATATCGTCACCGTTTAGATGCAAATCTAACTCGTTTTGTTTATTACATTCGATTTTAAGACTACTTACTTTAGCAAGTAACGTTCGATAAAAACGTAACCACGTGTAAATCACATATAATGTGAAGATCATTTATCTTATTACGTGTAGCACAAATCATGTTTACATAATTTTTAATAGCCATCAATTTACTGATTAAGTCTATAAGAAATATTTCTTTTCTTTTAACTTTAACAATAAGAGTAGACAGATTTTTGGCACACGTTTTCCTATTCTAATTAAGAAAGGATGGAAACATTGAAGACACGTTTTGGTAACGAGGCTCGTTGTAAAACTTGAATTACGTTGTTGGTTTTTATGATGAGGTACAGTTAGAATTTTATCTAGAATCAGTAGAAGTTAGTTTTTAGAAACAAGACTTGTTACTAGTGAATAAACCTCGACCCCCTGTTTAAAGATGTTCCGAAGGACAGTAACGAGTCGAGTATATGAGACTAACGTTTGGCAATTATTCATCCTTGTCCATGAATCTTATTTTTTCTTCGAATAACTCAGACAAAGTTTAATTAGAAAGTCGAATACAAAATGTCATAAGAAATATTTGTCATAATCTTTATGACAGGATTCGATTTCTCTATACTTGTTCCTACTACTTTAATAATTCTCAGAGCATTGAGAAGATCACGAATCATGACTTGTAATAAATCATCACAAAATATGCAATAAATTTAGAATGACTAAAGAACTGAGATAATTTAGAGAACGATGATATTGAAAACGTGACTATATGCGTGAAACTGTAAAAACTGGTGGGAGCCAAATTATCGAGAAGAAAAACAAAAGTGAATGCACACGTGCAGCTTTTACAGAAAGTAGAACTCTTACTTTCTGCGTGTCCTCCGACGTGTAGCACGTCGATGAGGCTTCCGACTACAGATAAATTTTACGATTTCCCTTTCTAAAGCGTCGTGGCCATTCGACGTGAATCCACCGAGCGATATATGTACAGTACGTAAGTACATGGTGAAATTTATATAACAGGTGATTAATCGTTTAATTCGGAGGCCATTCACACACGCACACGTCCGACAACAACCAATTGCTTCACCTTTCCCGCGCTTTCTGGTCAATGACTCTGGGTAAAGTGGCTCATACATTTTAGGGACTACGATTTCTTGGTAAACAGGTTCTAACGTGCTGCCTTGTGAGCACAATTTTTTACTTGAAAGTTATCTAATCGTGCTGGTCACTGAAACCAGTTTTATTCCCCCTGGCTCGAGTCATAAGTTCACGGAATTCGTTTCTCAAGTAATCTTCTTAAACTCTTCTTCGCTAAAGTACGTAAATAATATACATATATCAACATAATTTTTTGTGACAGCTCATGTTTCAGGTATTTTGTTGGACTGAAGTTCAGAGAATTTTTAAAACAATTATAGTTTTAAAATTTTAGTCTTTTTAAAGTCTGTAAATTATACCATAAGGGGAACTCTAGTTTGCCATCGAAGGATGCGTACATAAATAATTTACAATTCTAGATGCCATTTACGCAAATGTTTGAACAAGTCGAGTTTACTCAGTGATTGCGTAACCCATAGATAGTTACGTTAATAAGAGAAATTAATAAGAAACGGCGTGACTGTAAATAAGTAAGTGCAGTACCACAGTTTCAGTTAAATCGATTTTAATTACAATTGATGACAGATATTTTAATAATTTCATTCTGTCTAAGATTGTTTACAGATTCATTTTCGTCGCTGTCGTGTTTCTTGATCCTCAATTTCAAATTTCTCAGAACTCGCCTCTCAGGTAAACTTCATTAAGCGAACGGATCCAACGAGCAGCTTATCCAGTCATTAAACGTCGAGCAATCCTTGAAACTAAATCAGCGCTGTTCTGGCTAGAGATTAGCTTCTCCGAGTCCGATGAATAAAAACGGACGGGCAAGAAAAAAAACCCTTTCAGCTAATTTCCTGTTCACCTTGGACTTCATTTAAATAGGGACGTTCACTGATAAGAATGATTATGTAATTCTAATAAGATTTAAAACATTAATCAAAAGTTATCATTAATTACAATTCCATCGTTAATTCCATTAATTCAACCATTTAATATTTTATAATTCGTTAATTCAACCATTTAATATTTTATAATTATTCAAATAAAACATATTATTATTATTCTTTTATCGAAGAGAATTAAGAATAATTAATCTCCCTACCATGAATTCGTAAAATTCAATGTTCATTATTAAAATCGCTTAATAATTGATTAAATCATTTTTAATTAGAATCTCTCGAACGGTTCAGAGAATCTATTTAGTCTCGGATAAAGGACTTACTTTGAATGGTGTTCAGCGGTTGTCAGGTCATCCAGGAAGCGTGTATTAAAAGTCAACGTTCCGATTGTGCCACAATCGGTGTGCAACTTTCTCGCTCGTGGATTTCCAGCCACGGAAGGAGCGTAAAACCGGCCCGGTCGGTTCCCCATCGTCATTCGCGAGTCACAGTACACGAAGGTTCGCGCTAGTGTTCAGAACCGCGCGTCTCGTCCTTGGCGCTCAGTCGAAACCAGTTCAGTTTGCTAGGGTGAGTACCTTACCACATCATACACTAAATACTCGCTACCACAAAGGTTTAACTCAATTCCAAAACGCGAACGTATTCTCAGTTTCTCAAAGATTGGGCCAAAGGCTGGATTTGTCTATTTAACGAGTGAGTATCGCTTCTCAGGGATCATTTATACTTTTTTTAATAATTCCATGATTCGTGTTCTTATGAGAATTTTTTATAACACAACGTAACAGCATTTGTGAGATCGAAGTACAAGAATAATATATTCTGTAGTTAGAATAACAAGTTAAATTTATTTTTGTGATCGCCTTATTTGTAGTTAGAATAACAAGTTAAATTTATTTTTGTGATCGCCTTATTTTAAAATGAGATTACATCAGAGACAATTTTAATTTCTAAAACCGTATATTTCACAGATAAAATCACTAATTTAGATAATTATCTTCTTTTGATACAATAAAAACATGGTCGTTAAAATATAAAAATTCTGAGAAATAATTTGAATGGAATATTCTTAATAAGAGTGACCCTGATTGGTAAAACGTGTGGCGAGAGTGATAGTATTACGGCAGCGTCTGCCACATCAGAGAAAGTAATAATGAATCTCTCTTACATATGCACCTGTCTGCAGTTGCATCAACGGACGCAATCAAGTACACATTTGAGACCTTTGAAAGAAATAGACATTTCAATCTATTTTTAGTTCTACGCTTTCTTCATTTTGTTTGAATCAAATTCATGTAAACAATAGACAAAATTATTTAATTATCCAACTTGATTGACTGTGACTTGATTTTTATTTTACCTTTGCTCTGAGGATTTTTCCTATTGGGTTTTAATTCCTATTTCTGTGAAATGAAACAAGACAATAAATGATATAAATCAAATTTACTCGAAAATGCTGCATACTCTCTTATCCATTTTTAACTTGTATTTACTCAATGCCCACTTCTCTATACACTCTTCTCCTGTTTATACATCAAGACTGAAGATCTCGGTTCAGATTGCGCGTAAATTGATCGGCGTTGCACAAAACCGGTTGAGCGTTCGCAATGATTCGAACGAGGAAGTATAAACTCGTGAAACGTTTTCGGGTCGATTCTCTCCTTTTACTTTCTCCTCGAGCGTTGAACACGTGCGTCGCAACGCACCCACGACAAAAGCCGCGGTCGTTAGTGAAAGCATCGAGATGCAACAGGATGACCATGACACATTTCGTAATAGAACAATAATAGTAGCGTTTGGTAACAGTACTACAGCGTTGGCGTGGCTGGCAACGATAGCCAATCGTTCGATTTGATGCGATTCTAACGCAGACGTGTTTACTTTATTCGACTGTTTCACCGTTTAAACAGAACCGACACGTGTCAGTAGTCATTTTTATTCTGAACTAACGTTCAGAAGATAGAAAATTGTCAGCGCAACATTTGATGATATAATTACTTCCGTCCTTTATTGATATAATTAATACACAGAACTCGTTTAAAGAATCTCGATTAATTCACAGGATTTTGAATTTTATTTAATTTTATTAATATTTCTTCTCCTCTTTTACATTGGAGAATTGTCTTTTGAATTCATTCGGCAATCCTGTGGTCCTTGGACTTTCCACTTCCGTTTTACCGGATCTCGTAAACTGTAAGCTGTTCTGACGTCTATCTAAACAGCATGTCATTGTCAGGTGATTCGTGGTCCACATTATGCACGGTTTTACCATTTAATAACTTCTTTCTGACATTTACTTTTTAATATAAAATTCATTATTTTATATGAATGTTCCTCTTCATTCATCTCGTGCACGTCCGATTATTCACATTAATTGACCATCGAAATCTCATCGATGCAATAAATTATTCATAATTTCGCAAGATCTCATGAATCAGATATTTACGATATTGTTATTAATCGAGACATGTTTAGACAAAAATAAACAACCTTGAGACGACGGAGAGAGGCTGTGTACCCTCGTTCCCTCTAACACTAAGGTTCGCAAAGACCGCAGGTAAGAGGGAAAACCAAGGTGGATTTCGAGTCGATGCAACCAGGTCTCTACTGGGCCCAACCGCAGTTGCATCAGAGACCGGCATCGCTGAGCACTCAGTAGTATTCAATCTCTCATAATACCTGCCAATCTCAGCAAAACTCGCTTGAACAATCGAACAAACATTCAGACAGTATTCCGAATTTTCACTTCAATAATCTTGTGATTCTTTGATAAAACATGTTTCAATAAGTGTTCAATAAATCTCTTCTGACAATATCTATTAATTTAAATCTTATATTTGAAACGTTGCCTAAAATCTTTCATAATCCTGTGCAGTAAAATATTTCATAAGTGCTTGAACTCCTGGATTCCATGGGAAAAATTGTAGATGGGTGAATCAGCCACTGGCCTTGTGTATCTTTAAAAGAGAAAGTCGCATTGTGTAGGACAAAGCGAACGGTTGCAACGTTTTGCTTCGCGTGAACCGGAAGGATAGTTCGTTCGCGTCACGTGAACTATGTATCACGTTGTGCGCAGTCAGATAACCGAGTAAAAAACGTAGAATGTAGATAGTGTCATTACTGTGGCTGTGTTTAATGTCGGATAAAAAAGAGGACGTTAGTCTATATGTAAAACATGAATTTCATTGTAGCTCTGACTGATACCTTTTAAAAACAGTAGAGGAGTAAACAGTATCAATAAATAACTTTGTTATTCAACATTACGAGTCAGTATTATAAAATATGTAGATGCAAATGTTTATTTCATCAGTTTTCTATGAAAACTAGTTATTAAATGTACGTCACAGATTGCATACAATTTTAACAAGTGTTGAGATGTATTGGTAGATGAGAAATACGTATACACTCACTGTTTCTTTTTTACTGTCACATAATATAACAAGATTAGAATGATTTATTGGAAATTTCCATACTTCGATCGGTATCCACTTGAATTATATTCTATTACAATTTGATTGCCTAGCAGGTAACACCGTTTTAAGATGATGCACGCTTCATTGCAATTTTATATTAGTTTTTCCTGCGACTAACGATTAGTCATCGTATGTACACATATTTATACCGCAGCCTCTCTTTATCTACGTTCCAAGTATTTATAACCGGAGACCGTCGCGTGCATTTTGCCAAACAAAATCAAAACGTGTACCGCGTTAGGTCTTATCGTGTCCAACCGCAGGCGGCTCGAATTGCGGAATTCATTTGAAAGTCGAAAGCTCGTCGCAAATTCTGATCGACTGTCGTTGCCTGTCAGTGATTAGTTCAAAGGTTATCCTGTTCGTTAGTGAATCAGTCAAATTGTCAGTCATTTACGTTTGTTGACGAGTGCGTTACGAGAAACTTGAAAGCGAATATCATTGGTGACACGCGTGATGCCGCAGGAGAAGAACAGTGGTGTCGGTGATCCGATCCTGAAGGAGGATCGAAAACGTCCTTGCGAGGACTCGCTGAAGAACGGTAGGACCGATGCGGAGGACGTGAAAGAAATGCCGGAGCTCAACGACGACGTGGACGATGAGTTGGACGACGAGCAGGTGTGCTTGGATCTCAGTGAACCTTCGCCGGAAGTGATGGAGTACGCTAGAAGAGAGTTAGGAGAGACCGAGGACGTGAAGTGCAAGAGTCTTGAGGAGCTCAGGGACATGATTTATGGTAATCCGTATAGAACTTAATAGGGGAGTTTATAGTATTGTTCAGTGACATTATAAATGGCGAGACATTTGTGTATTCAATTGATTCTACCATCTTAGATTACGCTTGAGATTATCTTGAGATTTGAAAGTGCTCCTTGTTGTGCTCTACAATGTTTAATTTTAAGGAAACAAATTATTAATTGTTGAATTAATGTTAACAGAGAAAGGAGAATGCTTGCCACATAGAATGGACGATGACTTCCTGATCAGATTTTTGAGAAACAAGTATTTCAACGTGAACAAGGCACATCAACTGGTAAGTTATACATATTATCGCGTTTACAATTTTCATAAAGTAGTTTTATTCTAACTCGTCACGCAATTAGCGTCGCGTATTGATTTAACGTTTGTCAGCTGCGAAGATAAAATGCTTGTGTAGCGTATGATTTGTAAACCGAGTCCACTTGCAATAGTTGCACAAGTATGCCAAGGCAAACTAACCGGTGACTAGCTATTTCAGTCCGATTGAAAATATTCGAGAGGATTGGAGCCTTTTATTCAACAGTAACTCCTGTACGCATTGAACTTCAAATCCATTATCAGGTCTAATCTTTCTCTTTATACATTCCTTATGAATGTATCGAATTTGTAGTCTAATCATAAACGGTGTTATAGTTGAATTATTTAAACCTTGCTTGCAATTTATTCTCCTGACAAATTTTCCTGTATTAAAATCATACAATGTTCTTTATAAATGCTTATTTTAAACAATTTTCTAATTGTTACAATTTCATCGAAAGTATCCATGATTTATTATACATATAATTTATTCAATGATTCCCTGTAATCTTTCAATTAAAATAATCTCTGACGTTCAAGTCTATGAACTGGATTGTACATGAGAAAGAGAGCAACTTATCAGAGCTCTTACAATCTGTCATCAAGATTGAAATCGAATAAACCGGTACTAGAACCAATCGGATGCAGTCTTCTTTTATAGTGCAGCTGCAGGATAATTTTCGGTTAAGTAACTGACGGCTAGCTGACAATAAAATTTCCCGGTTGGAATCGTGTCGCGAAAGGGTGCTCGTTAACGCGAAAACGGATTTCGCGTTTCTCGCGGTCGCGGTCGCAATTTCGCGTGTCGCTACCGACTCCGTCATTAACGGAGTTGATTGCGTTCCCGGGACGCTTTAATATTTACCCTATGCAACCTACAAAACAGTTTGAATAATTGAGTTGAGAATCTCTCTCTGAATTAAAAACAGTACACTCCTTTGAAGCGTCTTCAGCATTGCATATTTCTATATCAAACAAAGCTTCTACAGTATTAATTTCAAGAAAGAAATTTAAAAATTAGCTTTAATCCTTTAATCATTATGACTCTTTATTATACATGCATTTATCTGGTAATAATATATTCACCATATAGTGTCTCCTACAAATTCATAAAATTTACAGTCTGTTAATTATAATTAATCATTTTCCTTTATTTAACACAATATCTGTTGTTGAACAAATATTATTGGTGATGGTATCCTGCCATGAAGAATTCCAAAAAAATTCTTTGAATCACTGTAATATAAACACGCCGTAGTATGCGTAGGCTTAAAAATTAACAAGGCCAAAAATCAGCCCCTTTTTTCTCAAGGGATCTTTCGTTAGATCGTGAATTACTACAACTTCAAAGAGGAACACCCGGAAATCCACCAGGACGTAAATCCTTTGGAGATGAAGCATATCGGTGAGGACGACGTGATGACAGTTCCGGCTTACAGGACTGAATGCGGGCGGAGGATAATGATCTATCGACTGGGCAATTGGGACCCAAGGAAATATTCTGTAGAAGAGATTTTTAAGGCCACTGTTATTGTCCTCGAATTAGGAGTATTGGAACCGAGAGCGCAAATTTTCGGTGGGGTGGTTCTGTTCGATTTGGAGGGCATCACGATTTCACACGCGTGGACCATCACCCCTCAGGTATTATATAAAATCTTTTACGTATTAGAAAATTTACTAAAGTAACTGTTTCTTGTTATAATTATTATAAATAACGAATACAATAGTAATACAAAAATTATAAGACACTACTTAAAATTTGTTACATATTTAGTATATTCTTCTATTAATTGGAAATAACATAATACTTTTAGGCCTCTTATAAATATGAGACAGTCTGACTCATTAAGTGTCACAGAAACTAGTTCATTTTCTTTTTTAATCAGCATAGCTCGTCAATTGTAATTAAGGTCATTCATTACGTAATGTCGTTCATTAATCAATATGCCATTGTATTATCAATTTTAGATATAATAATTAACTGAGACATTGATTTATATGTATGCCAGTAGAAAGGTGCAAAAATTCGCTCCCGGAATTTGATCGAATGAAATCCCGTGGAGCTTTGTAATTTATCTTAGCGAGATCTTAGCCACCCGTACGTCGATCCACTTTCAGCGTTCTTGAAACTTGAACCATCTATAACGGCCTTGAAACTAATAGTCTCCCCCGTTTCGTCTACTATTACGTTTATTCATCCCGAATGGCTGCCCGATGTTAATGGTCCGTCCTTCAAACTTGGACAATCAACCCCGGTCCTGATTCCTTTAACTTTCTTCCGTGTGTCTCGACAGATCATTAATTAAAAATAATCACATTTGCTAGTTACACGCAGCATTCATTTGAAACTGTCTGATGACAAGAATGCTGCTACACTTTGATAAAAAAATCTAGTACTTCTTGAATTAGAACACTAATCATTGTTAGGGAATAATTTTTTAATTTCGTGATTTTTGATACATATATTTCGTTATAAATGTCCAATTAACGATATCTCATCTTTACTCTTTTCCATAATCGCGGTCGAGTTAACCGGGAGAAATCATTAAGAAAGGATTACTCGTGGGTCGGCTTAGCAAGAAGTTGCCAGCTAAAAATATTTAACCCCTGAACCCTCAATTAGAGTCAGGAAGCTTAAGAATATTTAACCGTTATTAAGTAACAGGAGATTTCGATCTTCTATTAAATTCTATTAGTGTGGTCGATCGATAGTGGGTCATTTATTATTAAAAACCAGTCATTTTTATCTCTTTCAGTGGATCTACTATTTATTCTTAACGATGTCTCCTAACAAAAGATCAATTGCAAGTAGTTGTAACTAGTCCTTTGAATAAGAATTTTAATAAAAACATTTTAGACCTTCTTCAAGTGTAGAGAAAAAATAATATTAAAAATTCTTTAATCTTTTTAATGATGAACGTGACTGTCAAGGGTTAAACGTAATTGTGAATCGTTGTAGGTGGCCAATATGGTGATAGCACTAATGGTAACGGCGTTCCCCATGAAAACCCACGCGATACACATCCTCCATCAGTCGTGGGTGTTCGACGTGATGTTCGCAGTGTTCAAGCCGTTCCTGGACGTACGGATGCAGAAGAGGATCTTCTTTCACGGTAGCAACATGGAGAGTCTACACAAGCACATATCGCCCTCACGTTTACCCAAGAGGTACGGCGGTACCAGAGACGAGCTTCCCTACTACAAGTGGATCGACAGTCTCAGCAAGGTGCACAAAATCGTCAAAGAGATGAACCAGATCGGTTACATCATCCCTGAAGAGATTCAGAAACAGCTGGACGAGACGGCCGAAGACTGAATTTCTTCGCGATTTTAGAATTCGATCACTGACGACGCTGACTTCAGCGAACGTTCATTTTCAAACTCGAGGATACGTCGATCCAAAGGTGAAAATAAATGATTCACTTTGTTTCAAATTAATACTGAATTTCATGCAAGTAAAAAATATTAAACGACACCTTAGGTCTGGAGGGTGCATACCGAATCCTGAAATTATTGGCACGATATGTATAAAAAGGTAACAATAATTTTTCATTTCAGGATTTAATTTTGCATTGTTCAAAGTGAATCGAATTTTCACGGACAGATCGATATTTTCTATGAACGCATATTTTTTGTACTGTTAATCATCCCTGGTTGTTGACGCATGCATTTTATACTGAATTTGTTTTCATCCCTGCACACGTTCCGTATATATTATACTTTTGTATTTCGACAATATTTCTACAGTTTTAGAACTAGAGCATTGATTAAACATTCTAAGGAAACGTTGTACCCTTCTTTTTTTATCACGCGAAATTAACGACCCGACAAAAATCGACATTCAATTTCCTGGGAAACGAAGTGTCGGTAGATTGGATCGGAGATTCATTTTCCTGCGAAGGACAAAAGTGAAATAAGTAGACTTTGGAGTTTTATGCAAAGTAAAACAATTCGGATATTACTTAAAGAAACGCGTTTAATCGGTTTTACTGCAACATGCGCTCAGCTTTCGATATTTCGTATATTCTTACGCATCATACATTGCGCATTCTCTAAATGCATAGAATCCACAGTAAGTATAGAAATAAGTATTGTGAATCCTCTAAGAATAGTTTCGGTTTTGACAATTCAATCGATTCAATTATTGAAAAATAATTAATCATGCAGAATGAAGAAGACTGATCGTCCTTCCCTGACATTTTAGTTATATTCTAAATTCGTTTCTGCTATATTTCGACACAGATCCATAAAATTTATAGTGCAGTCGTGAGAAAAAAGGTTCAATGACCCGAAGGCCAGGTGCATAAGGGAACGTCTGATCCTTGGAGAAAACTGGTCAGCAGCTTCAAGGATCGGGTAGAGAGGGATGCGGTCGTAAAAACGAAGGGTGCACCTAGGTCGGTGGTTACACGCGTAGGTAGGGCAGAGTGCGGGCGCAGATAGGGCCTGGCTTTGGACTCGGTGGTTGAATATCGACCGGCTCGTTCGTAGCTGGTCGGGATTCGCATGGCGCAAGCCTGGGATAACGAGGACGAGGTGGCGAACGAGGAGGCGGTGGGAGAGAGTGTGCGCTTCCCTGAGTGAGCGCCGGCAGTAGTAACCCGGCCAGTACCCCGCGCGCGGGTGCAGCTGCATCCCGAGTAAACCGCCGTGTGTGTGAGAGTGCGTGAGAGTGCTAAACGAGGCGTGTGTGTCCTGAGGCCACGAGGGTGGAGCTACGTACCTGCGACCGCACCGTTCGACGTCGTCCAGGAACAGAGTACCTCTTCCACAGGAACAACAACGAAAACAGTTTCAGCTTGAAATGTTCCTCCAACGCTCCGGTCTGCGAACCTGTTCGACGTTCGATTCCTTGATTTAACCCGCGCGGTTCACGGAGTAATGTGAAGGCAACAAAGAGAGAGAGAGAGAGAGAGAGAGAGAGAGAGAGAGCGAGAGCGAGAGAGAGAGAGAGTCATGTTACGGAGACAAGAGACCTCGAACGAGGATTCGTACCTGAGCGCGGGGAGGCCATCGAACCTGCTGCGTACGAGATTTAGCAGCACTAAGCTAGAGTCGCTCTATCGCGCCTCCTCCCTCCAGCAGCGCCGGGGCGGCCTCGAGTACTTCCTGTTCTCGGCGTTGCTCTATGGAGCTCACACCCTCGCAATGCCGGGCCAGGAGCCGCCTGCCTGCGGTCTGACGGCGGTCTGCCTAGGCATGAATCTGGGCCTGTTGGCCTGGGCCGAGCGCAACCCCAAGGCGAAGGACGTACTCTGGTCCGTGATACCTCACGTGGCCTGGAAGCTGTCCTCTGTACACCTCATCGCTCAGCTGTTCCTCAAGTCCAACGGGGTCACGCCTAGGGACGGACTGGGCTGGCTGCTCCTCCTGCTCTACCTCCTGTTCGCCACCCTGCCGCTCAGGTTGTCCCTCTGCGTGCTACTCGCCTTCTGCACCGCGGTGGCATACATCGTCTCCGTTATCTTCCTCTCCAAGACGCCTGAGAAAATACCTATCGATGTTTTGGTACGTTCCCGTTTGCTTTCTTTCAGCGAACTTTCAATAAATGAACGTAGCTTAAAATGTCCATTTTAAAACGAGCTCCTCATGATTTTTCTGGATAAAATCAGACGTCTAACAGTAGCACGAGATATTTTACACAAAACGTATTTTCTTCTTCGTCTCAATTTTAATTGATTCATTTTTATATTCCTATTGTACCTAAATTGTACTGTACTCTACGTTTTCTAAGGGGCGCGATTAAGTACACAAGATGAGAGTTTCCGGGTATGAAACAGGGATCACAATTAAGTTGATTGCGTCTCCGAATTACAATTGCAAATGTAGAAAAGGAAAGATGTTAAACCTTGAATTAAGATGTACAGAGTATTGTATACCTTATAAAGAATCCTTGGGATTTAAGACTTTTTATATTCCCAGCGATTATCCAAGATCGATTATTATTCAAGTTGAAATGCCTTTATTATCTTATATGTATTATTGTATATCTCCAATTGATTCACACCTTTCGAGAATTCCAATTATCGTTTCAATCAGTTTCGTTCTTCTGATTAATTCTTTTTTTAATCGAATACTTGGACAGCGGCGTGTAGATAAAAAACTGTTGCCGCTTGTAAATTCGGTGCGTTGTTGCATTCTTACTCATGCATTTCGATGGATCGATACGCAACATTACGATGCGGCTCACGCCATGGACGAGCAATCAGCAATCCCTTGTAAAAGAACCGGGGTGCTTATACTATCTCTGACTACAAACTGATCAAAAATAAGTGAAATAAATAAATGAAATACATATATTCAATTGTAAGATGCAGTATTTAATATATAGTTAAATTATAGTTAATGGGGATACTATTATATGAAGCTGTGCAACACCGCGATGAAACGTATAGATTAATAGTTATTATATTTTTATTTTATTTAAACGTTTCTGCTGAATATTTTTTATATTAGTGTAGTAATCGGAAACTTTTTCGTCAGGTGTAGGTCGTATTAATTTCTTTCCAGGCTCAAGGACCGAGCCCTCGATTATTTTCTATTCGAACGCCCCTGCGCAACGTTGAATGACTGAACCGAGTCCGCGACACACGCTGTTGCCGTGCTGGTCTGCTATTTTTGAAAATACCAAGCCGTACCGTGGGTAGGGATTGCCAGTTTGCACTCCGCAAGAGTGCGAATTTTAAATAGAACGCTTTTTTCCTACCTTGTTTGATTCGTGGTGACGATCGTGGGTGGACGCCACGGAGGCGTACTACAATAGAAATTGTTGCCCTTCTGTATTCCTGCAACTCGTCATTTTACATGAAAAGCTTGTCAAAACTTTAATACTTGCTGACATCCTTATATCGATTGTATTTTATCATCCCTTTATTAATCCTATTTTGCATGTATTCAATTTATTAGATTTCATGTATACATTTATTCAATGCATTTTTGTCTCTATTCAATTTGTCGGATTTCATGTAGAACTAATTTCGTTAAACGAAATTTTTCAGACTAAGTGTACACAATTATATTTAACCATATGCCAGGACTAGTAACCTGATATACAATGTCGAAGAAAATTTACCAGCTGAACGGTGCAACAAGTTAACCCGGCTGTCAAACTTTCGTTCCTTCGGTTAAAATTTATAGACAGCCATTCACCCGTTTGAATGTCAATTTTTATGGGACAGCCTATCTCGTTCCCGGTTGTAAATAACAGTAATCTCGAGGACTCGCACTATTCTCTATCAACCTCGACTCTGTTAACCAGAGGCTTGGCACACACCTTGCCGGTTGATTTGTTAGGACATCGTGCGTGCGAGTAGAATAATAATTTAACACAAATATATATATAAATCAAATCGTTCAAGAAACACAAGAATTATTTAACAGATATAAAAAATAAATAAGCAGTTGTTTAATTCAACCCCAAGATCAGGAATTGAATGCACGTACTTCAACATTCTATATTAATTCCCACTTGAAAATGTCAAATTGAACTTCTTTAGTCCAGCCCTTAAATCATGTAATAAAAGCAAGTGGCTCAAAAATAAATCGGTGTACATATCATACACGAACCCCTGATCGCTCTTCTAAAAATGTCATTAAGTGGACAAGAAAAAGCCGAGTTCCGGTCTCGGCTTATCCGGGATTTTTAATTAGCGTCCACGAATATATACACAGGGCGTCCAGTTTAGCCCGTCGCTAATTAAAGCGAGGTGGGCGAGGGGATGTACGGACGGAGAAGAAAAGTTGGTAATTAAGAGCGGAACTTCGGCTTCCGATCGATCTTCACGAATTTAGGGTGCCAGGGTTACCATATCGCCCCCGGAACAACGATTAATCGAGCTCTCACGACAGCTGCTAACGACTCGTATCACCGTTTCGTAAATCGCAGACAATTATTTAAGTAAAATAAAACATTTATGGAAATAGTTTAAAAGACGTTTGATTAAATTTATATTTTATGTCTGATAAATAAATTACAGAAGAATTTACAGAAGTGTTGTATCTATAGAAAATATAATAACGATGAATCTGTATTTCTCAGATTGAATCGAGAACATTAGTGTAGAAAATGTCCGAGTGCATGCATCAAATTCATGATTTTGTGCATTCGAAACGAGTTGTTAGACTCAAAATCTTGTAGTCAAGCTCGTAACTCAAAGATCGCTGCATTGATAACACAAGCAGGGTTCCTTTTTAGGTGATCGATGAGGCGAGTTCGTGCACGGAGCAAATTAGGGTTGCGCGACTTATGAATTTTTATTACTCTTGCACGAGGGACGTAAATTGTATGTTCATCGAGAATGGAACGGCGCAGTTGGATATTTTTAAATTGCTATACTGCCGTTC